GAACCAATGCCGATTATCTTGCCTTTGCTATTATCGCCAAAGACAACGTTTCCTCCTTTAGTTGGTTTGATTTGCAAAAACTTGGATGCATCTCCGGTCATGTGCTTGGAGCATCCGCTATCAAGGTACCAAAGTACACTTGATGCCTTCAAGCACACCTACAAATTAATTTAAAAAGATTTAGGTACCCAATTCCTTTTGGGTCCTTGGGCGTTAGGTGCACGTTGGTAGTGTGATTGGTTTTGAGTGCAATGCCTATGCCTAGTGAAGCAAACCGGGGCTATATGTCCTACCCTATTGCAATAATGACAAATAACACTTGGATTATGCATTCTCCTAGGTTGATAATAGTTACTAGGTTTTCTATATTGATTGACCCTAGTTTGAGAAAAATTTTGTTTATGCATATTTGGAAAATGGTTTCTAGGTTCTCTAACTTGGCTACTGTTTATCCTAATGTTCTTTCTAGGTGGTCTAGTGTTCCTAGTTGATGTAGGTTGTCTATTATTGTTCATTTTAGTTTTCCTAGGTTGAGCCTTAGGTTGTTTAGGTGGTTGCTCAACTTTTTCTTTATTATTAGTTCCACTTTCAAAACCTAGGCCATGTTTAGCAAGTTGCAAATTATCAAGAACACCATTGAGATTTTTATGAGAAACACCAAACTTCTTTAAGGTTCCTTCAAGTTTTGCAACTTGTTCTTTAAGTGATGTGCAAGAACTACATTTTGAACTCTCTGGTTTTTCGGCGCTTCTTTTTCCGAAAAACTTATTTTCTTCTTTAAGTTTTTCATTATCTTTTGATAATTTATTAACCTCCTTCTCCATGGAAGTGAGTTGTTTCTTTAAATCCTTGTTATTTTTAGAAGCATTAACATATTCATCATAGAGTTCATTAAAAGCTTCTTGTACATCATCTAAAGTATGAGAATCCTTAGAAGTGGTACATACCTCTTCCGGTGGTTCCTCGTGTGCCATGAGGCAAAGGTTGGCGCTTTCATTTTCTTCACCTTCCGATGATTCGTCGCCGGAATCACCTCCCCACGAGATGTAAGCTCGGTGCTTCTTGAATGGTTTCTTCTCCTTCTCGTTTTTGGCATTTGGGCATTTTGGCTTGATATGCCCAACTTCTCCACATCCATAGCACTTGGGTGGTCCTCCATGCTTTTTACCCTTTCGTTCATACTCCTTGTGCATGAACTTGTGGAATTTCTTGATGACTAGCCCGAACTCGTTGTCTTCATCGCTTGATTCCTCCATGGCGGGTTCTTGGCTTGAGGAAGCCTTGAGTGCAATTCCCTTCTTCTTTTGTTCACCTAAAGAGGGGAATAAAATGGTAGACTCATAGGTTTTGAGGTTACCTCTAAGCCCGTCAATGGCGACGTTGGTGACACCAATGGACTCTTGGATGGCATCGGCTTTGGACCGCCACTCCGGTGTGAGACTTCGCAGGATTTTTCTCACAAGCTCCTTGTCCGTGTACGTCTTTTTGAGAGCATGGAGATCGTTGACGATTTTGGAGAATCGTTCAAACATCTCATCGATTTTCTCATTCTCCTTCATACGAAACAATTCATATTCATGGGTTAGAAAATCAATTTTAGCTTCTCGGACTTGATCCGTACCTTCGTATGTGATTTCTAGTTTATCCCACATTTCCTTCGCGGTGGTGCAACAAGATATCTTC